TATCCGTGTGGGAACCGGCTCAGGTCCCTCTGAAAAAAAAGGATGTTTTTTGTGTTTAGCGAGGTCATATGGTTGGAATCTCACGGAGATAAATAGTTTTTTTTTCATTATTATTTGAAAAATAGGGATTTATTTTAAAAATCTTACGCCTCAACCTGTCAAGTCGAGCTCCACCAGTTCCCCAGTTCCCCCCTAAGGCCTGTGATTTGCTAGTATCACCGCCACTCTATCTGTGTCGTGGCTCAAACAGTCTGCCAGCTGTGAGCTCAGTGTTGTTACAACAGCTGATAAGTGACTCCTAGTCCTACTTTCCTATCATGAATATCTCATGCACAGCTGGAGGCTGGAAAACGTCTAAAGGTTTCAAATTTGACTCCATCGTTTCCCACCGTTTTAGGGTGAATTACGCCTTACAGTTTCTTTATATTCTCTTACAAAAGTTAAAACACCAGATTGATTCTCTGAAGGAAACAAAAGCTCACCAGAATATTTGTTTTTTAAGCATATGGTTGTCGTTCTGGGCAAAATCTAGCTCATCCAACAGCTGTTTAGCAATCATTCTGGTGCCTCATAAAGTGTTTTTCTTTGTCAGACTCTTTGGTATTTTATTTACTGCATATTTTTACAATAGCTAAAATTTTTCTTTATATAAAGAGCTTAATTTCTGTCACCATTCAATATCTTGCAGTAAATTACGCCTTTGCCAATCTAAGCTGATAAAAAAGGCAAAGACCAAATTGGACCTTATGATCAGCTCTAAATAGCAGAGCATGAAACATAAACAGGAAGTTTAGGAAACTGTTTTATTATAACTCGACGCCATCTGGGAAAAGAGACGAAATAAATATCTTCCTCTAAGAGACTTGAACTAAAGGGAGGAATGAGAAATTGATGTAAACTTCTGTCAGGTAAAAGTTCACTTGTTCATTCAGCTTATCTGCTGATAGTTGGACACGTTGAGGATTTGTAACGTTTGAAGCCAAAGATCTGATTCCCAATCAAACTAATGAGTCACCTGGTTTGTCCTGATAGGAGGCCGCTTTGGTTTAGGATGTTTACTTTATGAGTAGGTGTCCTGTCAGCTGAGGAGTAAACTCAGCAGCTGAGTCCAGGTCAGGGTACAGAACACAGCTGGATCTGAGCGTGGGGGCTTATTTAGGAGCGGATGGACAGTAAAAAAAAAACTTAAATCAGGTTGGACTTAAGGAGAAACATGTGTTACATAATTAAACTTCCCTCTTTCTTCTTGCTCACAATAAAGCTACAGAATATTAGCTGTACATGAGCAAAAGGTCTTTTCACCTGCTCACTGATCTGCCCGGTAACAGACTTCGGAGGAATAAACTAGGGCTGCAACCAATCATTATTTTGCAAATTGATTAATATTTTGATTTTTTTTTTCAGTTAATCATCAGATCCCAAAAGGTTCCTGAAAAACATTTTTTTGACAGAATTAAACCAGGTGAAGCTAAACTTTTCCAGATTTTTTTTTCAATCTTAAATGCAAAACATTCATATATTTATTTTACAATTTTGGTATAATTCCTGCTCTAAGTGAGTCACTCTGTCAGATAGAGCCATTTTTTACCCTCTCTATACTCCAGTTAATAATTAATTGATTGCTAAATTAATTGACGATTATTTCATTAATCGATTAATCAAGATTAATCCATTTAATCTGATTAATTGTTTCAACCTCATGATAAACAAATTAAATTTTCTTTCTTTTAAGTTGCTTTCGCTATCATCAAAGATAATGTAAACCAGGGGTCACCAACGCGGTGCCCTCAAGGACCACATGGGGGGCCAGTGGGCTAAGTTTGAAATTTTATTTTATTCTGTTGCTCTTCTTTTTAATCATTTATAGAGATTTCAAAATGAAAATGTCTAAATAAACTTAGAAATTAACAGAAACAATAAAAATATGTTGATAATGAACAAAGTTTAGGCTAACGCTAACCCTTGCAGCTCAATGGTCAGTAATGGTCGCCCTTCCTAAGTCTCGGTACCCTTGAAGTGACCCTCAGCCTTAAAAAGGTTGGTGACCCCTGATGTAAACTATACAATTTTGAGGTAGACGTGTTTATTTTAGTTGTAAATAATAAAAAAAAATAGCCTTAGATATTAATATTTATTATTATTTTTTTTAATGAATCAGTTTAAACTTGGGTTAAGATTATAACTTCTCACTTTTATAGCTTATTTGATTGTATCTAAACAAATTGGAACGAATTGGTTTCTGTGGTTAAAGCTAACAAAAATGAATTGCCCTATAAAACATCAGAAGCTGAATTTTTATGTCATTTTAAATGAAAAGATCCTCAGTTTGATGGATGCATGAATAAATTACGGCCTGGTTTTTTTTTTTTTTGCATCTTTATCAGGATAAAGTTTTGGATTTTTATGCTCTTCTGACCTAGTTTCAAGTTCCTACTGCTTCTACTTTGATTCGATTAAGATCTGCCATATTAAAAGTTCTGCTAAGCTTCTAAGAGAGATTTTGCATTAGCCTAAGCCTGGGCATTAATCTCCATCTACAACCTTCAATTAAAAGATTAAAATCTCATCTTTCAGAGATGTCCTGTGCCAGTTAATTTTTTACTGCATTGCCAGAATATCTTTTTCAGGAAAAAATCAGAATAGCCTCTTTGTAATGGTTTTCACTCCCTGAGGTCTGAGTTAAAGCTCTGCTTAAGTCTCCAGGTTCCTCTAGTCGGGCCTCGGACTCCCTGGTTCTGTTTCCCAGCTGGAGAATCTCGAGTTACAGCCGGCCCTTAACAACGCCTCCCTCATAGGAGCAGGAGGGGGACAAAGAGGTCTCTGTTGGGTGTGCGTTGAGCTACGCCCAGCAGGCGGCCGGTCCTCCGTCGTTCTTGACCACGACCGCAGGCTGAAATGACAGGGAGCTCATGGAGCCTCGGTGTGGGAGTTTGGTGTGGTTCTGTTTTCATGCTGGCAGAGCTGAACCACTCCCAGTCGCTACTTTCTCCACAAAGAATCATCCTTCCCCTGCTGATTGGTCATTTATCTTTAAATTTATGGCAGTTGAAGGAAGAAAAGCTCATTTTTTAGCTCAGATAACGATGAACTGTGATGTCATAACAAGGAAAACTCCTAGGAGAAGATGTTAGAAAGAGAAATCTCTACCTCTGCAGGTCTGGTTCTTCCTTACGTATAAATACCTGAATCCTGCATCAAATCTACACTTTCTGATTATGTTCATTTGTCTGAAGAAACCTAAGATGAGTTTTACATGGAAGCAGCATCATGCTCTTTTGTTTAGAAACAGGAATTATTTCATCCTGGAAATTTGATGATTTACAGAATCATTTTTATTTAATTCTTTGTTCTGTATAGTTTTAGTTTTAATTTTTTGGGGTGCAAAGACTTCCATTGTGTCACATTCATCTAACTTTCTATATTCAGATTTATCTCTGCTCTGCAAACCAGAATAAAACAGCTGAACTCTCACCAAGGTCTGCAGAGGCCTGTAAAGATGGAGGACGCCGGCTTTTATTAAGACTTAATATGATTCAGTTCTGCCAGCTGAGATTTAGCCCTCACGCTACAGCGTCGCCTCATATAATAATTAAACTTTATTGATCTCATATTGGAGAAATTTACCTCCTTTAACCCCTTGGGGAGCAGAGGGCTGCCATTGTGCGGCGCCCTGGGAGCAATCAGGGGTTAAGGGTCTTTGTTAGATTGTTTTACTGCAGCCGTGCTTCTCTTTACCCTGGAAGTCTGAAAACGACACACTGGGAGGAGAAATGTGTAAATATTTGTCTTCTTCCTTCTTGAAAAGATTCACGGCGTGCCGTTGGTGTTTACGCTCGGCGAGCCTGGAAACGGGACTTGTAGGGAGCGAACAGCAGCAGAGGAAGAGAGGTCATGTGTTTGTGTCGGACTTAGAGAAATGCTGGATATTTAGCTGAATGTATCGTAATGATACCTGTTGTATTTCTTTTTCAATTTAACTCCTAATCAGCTAATTATGTTTACGGCTTTGACATCATTTTAAGTGGTTTATGTCTCTTTGAATCATCTAAGCAATCGGTTCAAATAGCATTGCTAAAAATGACCCATTTCCGTCCTTTTCCAGAGGTTTTTATGCAGATTTCCTTGCTGTTATCAGAACCTGTTGAACTTTGTTTATTAGGGGCAGCAGGTTTGTGGTGAAAGCTTCTTTTTTACCAGAAAAAGATTAAACTTTGAAACTTTTTGTTTTGTTTAATCTGTTTCTTTCTCTAAATGTTTCAGGATCATAAGGGGAGGGAAAACTGTCTTGTTTTGGGATTAAAGGGTTTTAAGGTTTTGGTTGAAAGCTGCAAAAATGCACCTTAAAAAATTAAAAAGGAGGTTTATTTAATGATAAAGTAGTAAAACAATTGCCGATTTCACTAAAAAGGTGGTCAATTAAACAATTGAAAGTTAATTACTCCATCTTTTTGTCGATCGATCCTAGAAAGAAATTCATATTTTTTCAGCTGAAATTAGACTTTTAACACCGACTATCATAATAAACTGAACCAATGTGTGATAAATGTTTTTACACTTTAACTCGGAGCCCTTTCTTATTTTAAACTGCACCAGCTGCTCTGTCTGTAGATGTATATCAATGCGTTATCGGTGCATCAGGAGGGCGTCTGTGCTTCTGGAACAGGAGCGTGGTCTTCACCTCGGAGATGAAGGAATGTGGTTAGAGAAGAGAGACGATGGGGGTTGAAGGAGGAGACCCACAGCAGGAGGCTTTGTGCGTTAATGTCTGCATGTTAAAGTATCACCACACTGAGAATCACAGACACACAATGTTGATTAGAGGCGGTGGATAAGTATCCGATTGGGTCGGTTCCCTGAGGGGGCTGAAGGTAGCAATAAAGAATTTAAAAGCCTGTAATCACTGAGCTGCTGTCAGATGCTTGTAATGCTGTGGTTTTTGTCTAATTATCAGTCTGCTGCCTCCCATCCTCTAAGAATATTTCTTTTCTGTTTTTCTGAAGCACTTCTCCGAACTCCTTGACGACCTCTCCCCGGATGGTTTGCTGGGCCAGCTGCTCAGCGACCCCTTCCTGTCTGGGGACAAAGGAGACGAGGAGCCCATGGAGGGGGAGGACGGCGGCGACCTGTCCCCTTCCTCTCCTCTGCCGCCGCACATCACCGCCGAGCACAGCTACTCGCTGTGCGGAGACAGCCGGCCTCAGTCGCCGCTGTCGCACCTGACCGGAGAACACGGCAGCGAAGCAGGTGGGACACGAGTGCGAGGAAGATCTTCGTAATCCAGCATTTCACACACATGGCCATTAACATTAGATCTACTGAGAGATTTTTGGAACAAGTTACTTAGGAAGGAGTTTTTTATTTAAATGTTTTGATTCACTATCCTGAAGAAAAAAGTATCCCCACAGCATAATGCTTCCACCACCATGTATCGACATTTGTTGAGTGTTAATACAGGGTTTCCGCGGGTCATTAAAAATCCTTAAAAGTCATTAAATTATAATTTTTTTTTAAATTAAGGCCTTAATTGGAATTAAAATTCATTAAATTTGATGATCGTGGCATTAAAAGGCTTTGGAAAAGAAGCTTGAGGTGGAGATATATATGGCTGCAGCCTGTCCACGATGAAGATGACAAAGAATATAGCCTTGTTAGTGTATATATATATATATATATATATATATATATATATATATATATATAAAGATATATATAAGACATGGGTACTTGTTGATGGCATTAAGATTATTTCTATGTGCATTAAAAGATAATTAAAAAGCATTAAATAACGTGTAAACCCTGTAATATTTCCTTATTGATGCTGATTTTCATGTAGTGCCACCTTTCCCACATTTGCAGACTTTTTCTTTCCTTCTTCGTCTCATTTCTCGGTAGTCTTCTATGACTAGTCATCATCCTGCTGAGCTGTGCATCTCTGCAGCTCCTCCAAAGTTACAACAGGCCTCTTGGCTGCAGTTTTAATAAAAGCTATCCATCCATTTTAAATTTCTGCGTTAAAGCTTCGATTTAAGTTCTTATTTAAACTCCTCAAATGTGTCGTGATCTCTCTGCTTCGTTCTTTAGACATAATTAAACCTGCATTTTCAGAGAGTTGACTCTATTTACTAATTAGATCAAATCTGAGGGCATTTAAAAGCTTTCCACTCTTCCGATTTAGAACTAACACATTTTTAAAATTAGATTTAAACACTTAAATAAAAGAAAATATTAGCTTATTTGTGTTTTTATATAATTTTGCTTTAAAATACAGTCAAGTTTATATTTATAGGATGACAAAACCTGGTGTATAAATACAATTTTCACACCCGCTACATTATTAAGATCTGTGTGATGCTTTTCCACCACAGAGTCAGATGGAGACTCTTCTGAGTGGGCCATGGAGCAGCATGAGGCCATTGAGGGCCTCCTTTGTGAGACTCCTTCTCTACTCCCCACTCTTCCGCTCCCTCTGGCCTCCGGTGAGGAGCCTCGTGGGCCTGAGGGTCCCGCTTTGGCCCCCGTCTCCCAAGCAGCAGTCGCCAACATAGCCAACCAAGGCAAAGCCATTAAGGTGGGAGAGTAAAGGTGCATTTTTAAATCGGAGTCGTAGTTTGTTCAGTTTTTGACGCTGTCTGTTTATTTTCAGATTAAGGAGGAGAAAATCATCCCTGAGATCAAGCTGGAGCCGCATGAAGTGGATCAGTTCCTCAATTTTTCACCCAAAGGTCAGAATTCAGTGTTTATCCTCTAAATGTTGCTATCTGGTGCTCCAACGCCCCCTACTGGCAATTTTTAAAATAACAGAAAACATTTGAGATAAAAATGAACTAAAACTTTTCCTCTAGAAACCCTTAACTACATAATTATGTTCCATAAAAAACCTTAAAGAAACTGTTGATGTGTTTATTATATCTTTAAAAAAAATGTAAGTTTTAAATTAATTATTTTCTGCTGTTTATTGTTTTTTAGGCCTGGAGTCCCCACAGATGCCCCCCACTCCTCCCAGCTCCCACGGCAGTGATTCAGAGGGCAGCCAGAGCCCCGTTCATGCCCCGCCCAGTCTGTCCTGCCCCACCTCCCCCAGCAGCCCCTCTCCATCTCAGCCCAGCGTCAAGGTGTCTCCCCGCGCCGCTTCCTCCTTGTCCAACTCCCCTCTGCTCACCGCTCCTCATGTAAGGATCCTGGTGTCTGTTTTCTCTCATCTTTACCTCATTTTATTTTAGATATATGAGTTACAGCACCCTCCAAACTTATCAATCCAGACACATAGAGATGTTTATAGCACCTTAGAATAAAAATCCAGAAAGATTAATATATTTAAATGGGTATTTCAGCAGGTTTATGTTTCAGAATCCACACAGAAATTGATAGAAAATTGACAAAGACCAACAGAGATCCCCTCCTCTTTATGTTCCAACCTGTTGTAGAAGAAGATTCCCTGCTTTTATGAAAGCCAAAGAGGCTTTAAAAGTCATCCTCATCTTGCTGCAGCAACAGTTTAATTCCCCTTCTTCTCCCTGTAGAAGCTACAGGGGTCTGGGCCGCTAATCCTGACGGAGGAGGAGCGTCGAACTCTGGTGGCCGAAGGTTATCCCGTTCCTACCAAACTGCCACTCACTAAAGCTGAAGAAAAGGCCCTTAAGAAGATCCGCAGAAAGATCAAGAACAAGGTAGGAGACAGGGACAGAGATCCTCAAGTAAGATATAGAAACATTTAATAGTAAATTAAAATTGCATACTGATCTTGCTTTAAATTTGTTTAGATTTCAGCTCAGGAGAGTCGCAGGAAGAAGAAGGAGTACATGGATGCTCTTGAGAAAAAGTAAGCCTAACTTCTTCCCCTACATTTTTTCGTTTGTTAAAAGCTAATAATAAATAATATTGTACATGCATGCTGCATCCTCCATCTTGCATCATATTGACTCAGTGTACTATGCATCATTACGATTCATTACAAATTCTAAGTCCCTTACTCATCACTGCATTCTTTATGATCTAGTTGGTTGGACATCACTAACAATTCGTAGAAAACAGCACTGGTATATCTTTATCTATAAAGCAATACTTGGTAAACTCCCACCGTACCTCTGTAACCTCCTCTCTGTGAGTTCTGGTAGTTATCAGTTGCGCTCCTTTCAGTGGTTACTTTTTAATGTACCCCGAGCTTCAACTGAGTTGGGAAAAACTGCATTCTCCTACTCTGCACCTTGGGGATGGAATAACCTCCAGAAAGAGCTCAAATTAGAAACTCTCCTGTCCATTACTGAATTTAAAGTAACCATGAAGAATATAGTGATGGAGATATGTGCTTGTTTTTCCTGAGATGCTCAATGTGTTTTAACATACTGCTCTGATTTTATTTTTAATTTTTTTATTATGAAAAATGTAATATGTTGTAAATATGTATGAACTTCCTATGGTTTGAAAAAGATTCTTAATCTCAATGGGACTTCCTGGTTAAATAAAAATAAAAAATACCTTAACAAATCTGTAAAAAATATATATATATTAGAATATCACCCCTATAATGGTGTATATTTGATATTAAACCCTTGAATAAAGAGCTAAGTAGTGAAAACCACCACTACTGTAACTTAGACATGTGCTGCTCATAACATTGTGATGCTGGTGTGTGACCACAGGGTGGAGACATGCTCCAATGAAAACAGCGAGCTGCGCAGGAAAGTGGAAACTCTGGAGTGCACAAACAAGTAAGAGCATTAAAACATTTCTTTGTGTTTTTTTTGTTTTTGTTTTAGAAATTGGAGATTGTTTACAGAAAGCTCTTTCTTTCTGAAGGCGTCAGATTCTCCTGTTTTGTTGGAAGTTTCAAAGTAAAATACATATTTCTGTCTTATTAGGGAGATTTTATAAAGAAGGAGATTCACCAGTTGAAGTATAAGAGTATATGAGAGAAAAATCAAGGATTCAGATTCAGAACTTTTGGGAACCGAATGCCAAAGTTTGAATGCTTTGTTTCTTTGAAGGCTTGATTACAGCCTGCAGGATCACTTCCTGGTGGGGCTTCAACCCCGACCGCCTGGATCCTGCTGAGCTGGAAAACAATGACTCCGCTCTGTGATTTGAAAATAACGCTGAATCAGAGGCTCCCTGCGGATGCATTCAGCTGCAGCTTTACATGCATAATCATGAGTCCATTTTCGGCGTGAAACGCTGAAGCGGCGTCAGTCATTCGGCGTGCGCCTCGCAAAGCGGGAGCACCGGGTTAAGTGCATCCCTGACAGCTGTTTCAGGTTGGGTTTATTCGTTCAGTGGTTGAAGTTTGCTTCACTGTCACCTCTGAAAAGATAAATAGAGTGTTGGAGTGTGTTTTTGTGCTGCTGCACCTGGATGGCACACTCGTGCTGCTTTTTAATCATCGACAGGAGAGAGTCAGCGCGACGTGTGAGGCTGTCTGTGAGATAAGAGCAGGAAAAACAAACATGTTTTACATGATGGTAAATAGTGAAGAACGGCTGGTTTATTAAAACCCTAACAGATTGGCTCTATGGAGGATAAAAAGTGCCAAAATTAAATAAATAAATACAGCATTAAATAAATAATTAAATATGTCAATAATTAATTAAAACCACGTCACTAATGTAAATTGCTACAATTAAATTAATTAATTAAAAAAGAATCTGTCAAACTCACCCATCAAAGTTAAGGGGCGGTTATCTAACACCTGATTGGTTACCCTGCACATTAAGGCGAAGCAAATCGATTACAGAGACTCGATTCGCGTTAACCCCGCCCCCTAACTTTGATGGGTGAGTTTGACAGATTCTTTTAATGGTTTCGATGCACTGCGACACAGGACCATGAAATAATTAAATGTACACTGAAATAATTATATATATATTTTTTTTTATAAAATGAAGACGTATTTTATTAAATTAAGACACATTTATATATTTAATTCCTTATTTATTTAATGAATTACACATGTAATTAATTGTTTATCGCTGTATTTATTTATTTAATTGTGGCACTTTATATTAGTGACGGGGTTTTAATTAATGACACATTTATTTAATTCCACATTTAATTAATTATTGACACATTTAATTATTTATTTAATGCTGTATTTATTTATTTAATTTTGGCACTTTTTATCCTCCATAGAGCTCATCTTCTTTGTAAGTTTATATTAATATAAGTCATGATGATAGATGTAGTTCTCTAAAGCAATCTTTTAATGGCTTTTCAGAAGTTTTAAACCGTTTCTTTTTTTTTTTTTATTATAAAAAAAAGGTTTTAAACCGTTTCACATAAAACAGTATTATATAGTTTTAACTGTGTGTTTGCAGATCTCTGCTGCAGCAGCTGCAGGCTCTGCAGGCGATGGTGACAGGAAAAATCCAGAAGTCCTGCCGAATGGCCGGCACCCAGACGTCATCATGCTTAATGGTAACATATATGTGACTGTGCTGCTGGTGGTCATTAATATGGAAACATCTGCTTCCATGGTAATTCCTGATTTATTCATCTGTCTCTCCCTCTCTGGATCCGCGCCTCCTCCCCTCCTTCCCTCTCCGTCGGCCTGTTGGTTTCTCTACAGGTGGTCGTGTTGTGCTTCGCTCTGTTTCTGGGGAGTTTTTACCCGAGCAGCTTCACCCTGTCGTCAAGCATCACCGAAACGGGCGTAGCATCCAAACATATCCCAGAATCCTACACAACTACAGGTAAGCTTACACCAGTAGACGTTAGATGACACCCAAACAACATATAAATCAGATTAATAACTTCTATATGTGTTGTACGGCACTGATGGAACTAGAAGTATAAAAAAAAAAACCTTCGGGTAGAAGCTTCAGTAGGGAGGCCAAGGCGTTCCTCTCTCCAGACACTTGGGCCAGCTCCTCTGGGGGAATCCCAAGGCGCTCCCAGGCCAGCTGAGAAACATAGAACCTCCAGCGTGTCCTGGGTCTCCCCCTGGGCCTCCTCCCTGAGTGACTGAGCTCCTCACCTTATCTCTAAGGGAGAGCCCAGACACACTACAGAGAAAACTAATTTCAGCCGCTTGTATCCGGGATCTCTTTCTTTTGATCATGACCATAGATGAGGGTAGGAACGTAGATCGAGCGGTAAATCGAGAGCTTTGCTTTTTGGCTCAGCTCTCTCTTCACCACAACAGACCGTTACTATGGAGAGATATTTGTGCCATCGGTTTCAGCGCGCAGGAACCAATCCAAGCGCACGCAAAACCGGTCTGGCGCGCACTCAACTCTGAAAAACCCTCTCAACACACTGTTCTCGCGCTCAGTTTCATCTCTGCTGTGCTCGGATCCGTCTCTGCTCGCGCTCGACCTGCTCTCTCCACACTCAACACCAGCTGTGCGCTCGGCTGTTTCTCCGCTCGCTCAACTCTCTGCGCTCGCGACTTCAGCAATGTATGTAAATGAACCATACCATCAGCCAATCACACTCAGCTTCTTTTCATCCAATGAAAGCATTCGTTCCAAATACTACATCCGGTTAAATGGAAAAAAGAGATGAAACTGAGTGCGAGAACAGTGTGTAGAGAGGGTTTTTCACAGTTGAGCGCGCGCCAGACCGGTTTTGCGCCACCGGCGCTGACACCACTAGAGGAAACCACCAGACTGGTTCCTGCGCGCTTAAAACGATGGCACAAATATCTCTCCATACAGTACACTGCACGCTTCACAGCAGACGCCGCACCAATCCGCCTATCGATCTCCAGCTCCATCTTCCCCTCATTCGTGAACAAGACCCCAAGATACCTAAACTCCTCCACTTTTAAAATCCTTTTAAAATCACTTTTCAAAATTAATTCTTTGTTAATTTAAAAAAAGCATAACAAGGTTAATCTTTTAACTCTGAAATAGTTATTGAATATTTTCCAGATGTACAGATATCACTGATTTTGCATGTTAGAAATATTTCTAAACAGATTTAACAGCAGCTGTATTAAGCTACCAATCCTTTATTATTCTGCTTAAATATTAAAATGTCTATTTAAAAGGAATAAAGTTGATTTATTTTCATAATCCCTGAGTTAACCTGACATGGGATGGGGTTGGTCTAGTGGTTAGTGCAGTGAAGGTTCCAAGTACTGGTTCGAAACCCACTGCCTCCACTCTGGGTTCCTGAGCGAGACCTTTAACCCCTAAATGCTCCCTCAGTGCCGCACAATGGCAGCCCTCTGCTCCCCAAGGGGATGGGTTAAATGCAGAGGTAAATTTCTCCAATGTGAGATCAACAAAGTTCAATTATTATTATTATTTAAAAAGGAGAGAAAATACTTTTTGCATTTGCCAAAAATAAAATCTCTTTCCTAGCAGATTGTTTTTACCAAGTTAAAGAGATTTAATCTAAGTAATCAAGCTGTTCTTAATGGGAAGTTATTGAGCAGAGAGAGTGGAGGATGCAAAACAAACGCAACATTTAAAGTAAAAGAGGTTGAAGAAATGTTTTTTAAATCCTCAGTGATGCCATTTAATGTTTAAATCCAAAGAGGGTTGGAGATCATTTCAAACTCATGTAATGAGTTTGAGTGCGACAAACTAACTAAAAAACAGACCAAGTTGTTCATTTCTCTAAAGTTTTCAGTTTGCCTGACCTTCCCTGCTGCTCCCATTGTCATGAATCATTAGTTCCTGGCTGTAAAACCCTGGTGGTCCATTATACCATCACCACTAATCAGATTCCACCTACAGCTCAGCAGCAACAGCCACAGAGACTGATTTGACCTTTCACTACATCCTCATTACCTCCCACACACACACACACATACTGGTGTAATTGAGATCAGATATAATTTTCTTAACAATCAAATTCAGCTTCCTCTCACATCCTGCTCACACACAAACCGATGCTTTCTTTCTTTTAGAATAACAGCAGTTAGGACTGAGCGTAGGCCGCGGAAAAGTTTTAAGAACTTCGTTTTTGTTATAAAAGAGGAGAAAAGCATGTGGAATGTTTTTTATAACAGATATTTGATCCATTTTAAAGTGTTAAAGGGAGTGATTACTTTTTAGGTTCATCTTTGTTAAAAGTCTCTGTTTCAATTTCAGTGAAATCCAGGAGTTTGCTGTCGACCTTTGAGGACGAGCAGCCGCACCTCCTGGGCCTGGGCGGCGAATATCCCGAGCAGTGGGAGGACGCGCCGGCGGTCATCATGGCAGCGTGGCGCCGCTCAGAGCAGCAGAAGCTGAGCTCGGAGCAGAGCAGGGCGGAGACGCATCCGCCTTTCCGGAATAAAAGCAACGACACACAGAAGAACCTGCTGCTCGACCTGCACAGGTATCAATCAGCACTGCATTGGACTTTTATTATTCGCTCTGATTTTTCTATTATTATCTTTTATTTATTTATTTTTTTGCTTGGTGTTGGCTCCAGGTCGCAGAGGGCGAATGGAAGCAGCAGTAAAATTTTAGAGCTGGATCGATCGGTCAACGAGACCTCCTGAGGTCTGATTGCGCTCCCTCCCAGCAGATATGTTTTGTTCCTCTGGAGCTTTTTAAAGTGTCCTGAAGCAGATTTCCTCCACAGCGCCCCCTGTTGATGCCACCGCCTGCTCCATCGAAATTCTAATAAAGAGGCACTGGATGCCTTGTGTGTCTGAATTAAAGTTGCACTGATGGTTTCTGACTTGACATAAAAAATTCAGAGCAGTGCGGCGTTTATTCCAGAGGAAATAATTATAAAACACGACACGTGAGGCTTTTTTTACAGGACACTGATGATGTCACAAGTATTTATAGAAACTTTTTTTTGTTGCTATGATTTTTTTTTTTTTTATTCTATTACTTAAAAATGCTTTCATCACATTTTGATACTAGCTTGTGTTCATGCTTTATTTTAATATTTTATTTGTAACCTTTTATACTATGTATATTTACGTTTCTGGGGCATTTGTTTTGAGTCCCGCTAAGAAAAAAACAGAAACTAAACAGAAAAATCAAATTAATATTGAGATTTTTTTTTATTTTTCATGTTTTTTGAGAGTTTTTTTTTTTCTCTATTTTTGTCATTGGTGGAAAAAACACATTTTTTTCATCATTTTAGCTCATCATTAATGCCTTAAGTTCTTTTTATATTCAGTGTCCTGCCGAGGTATTTAGGTAACTACTTGGTTAAATTAGCCTCTTTTCTGAAAATAAAAAGACGCTTAATCAATTTAACTCAGCATTCACCAAAAATATCAACTTATAAATGTGGAGAAAGTTTCTATTTTTGTAAATGTGGGTTGTTAATAAAGGGGGGGAGTCTAAATGTGTCGGGAGCGATCTATAATTCATCCCCTTTCTCTATTTCTGGCTCCATGCTGTTGATAAATTATGAACGTTGGCTTTTTGAGCTTTACAGCAATATTTTCTCACCCTCAGATTCTCTAACGTCCCGTCAAACCCTTTTAGATCAGCTAGTTCATCAATAAAGCCGTTGATGTAAAGCTCTGCTCATAGTCCTTTCCTTGCAGTCGATGGTTCCACTTTGTAAAAAAAAATGACTTTGTGTCTGTCTGGCTCCATTGTAAAGTCAGTCTGAACTAGTCTCTGTATTCTTGCTTTGAAAGTGAATAAAGTATTTTCCGTAGTAAAAGCATTTTAATTGTTGGGGGTTTCTTTGCAACACCTGCTACTCCTTATGAGGATGATAATCTGATAGGGCTGCAAATAAATATTTAGCAAATCGATTCATCTTTTGATTATTTTTGAGTCGATTAGAAAAAAATCTGATAGAAAAAAGTTCCTTAAAGAAGATTTTTTTTTTTTTACGAAATTAAACCAGGTGTAACTAAAAGTTCACTACTTCAGGTAATGGCGCCTTCAGAAGAGCTGAATAGAGCATATTGACAGGAGAAAATGTTTTTTTTTATATCTTAAATGCAAAATGTTTAGGGTTTTTTTTCAATTTAGGTATAATTACTCTGAGTTTCGCTGTCAGCTAATGACACGTCTTACAGTCTATATTCCAGGAAACAATTAATTGCTTACTAAATAAGTTGACTATTGTTTCAATAATCAATCATGATTAATCCAATTAATTGTTTCAGCCCTATAATGTGGTTTTTATTATATATGAACTAAAGTGGGATATAATCAGTGTCTTGGTAAGTTTTAATGCTCCTATTCAGTCTATGCAGATTTCTTATTAAACTTAAACAAATGTTAATGTTTTGGAATAATAACCTAAATAAATACAGATATAATAAATTAATATAATAACGGAAACAAATATCAAAAGCAGCCTTGCAGTATAAAAAACCCCAAACACATTTAAAAATAAAACAAGTTGAGGTGAATTTCAGAAGCCACAGACTGGCCTGATTAGTGTTGGATCTGTAGAATCAGGAAATACTAAATCTGACTGAAATATCTCGGCTTAAAGGTCATCTAAGTTCTCTCACAAACGGAAACAAAGCCACTTTTCTGTCTGGAAATGGTCAAAAGGTTCTAGTGCCGTGGGAACTGAGGAACCCATGATGTAGAGTAACAATCCTACCCAGATTACTCCAAGAGGGCTTCATGTATGAGGTACCAAAACTCCACAAGTATCTTAATATCTGCAGGCCTCTGATAATAAGATATTCTGGAAGGATAGAATTATTATGAAAGTTAAAAAGGACATTAAGGTCTGTTTCATTTTTACACCTAAAAAGCAAGGTGGGGTGGAGCTAGTTTAGGGGCCTAATACTATTTCACTAGCCTAGGGATTGTGAAGCTTACTTTTTTATTTTTTACCCCTCAGCAATGGAATCATTATTTTTAACCATAATTTTTCACTCAAGTTTAACCGACATCAACGTTTCTCTAACGATCTACAGTAACAGGAACAAAAAAAAAGGGAAAATTGGATAAATATGGAAAGGAAGCAAATGGTTCCTTACGGTGCTTTATGTGGCAAGAGAAATCATTTTCTGAATCGTAAAGTTTGGGGTTTTATTCCACCTCCCTCTCTTGTTGCATGTCGATGTGCTCTTGAGCAACGCTTATTTCCAAGTTGCTGACCCAGTTCTGCCACGTGAATGTAGTTCTGGTTTAAAACGGCTTAAAAAAAACAACAGTTACCCCCTTTTTAAAATTAATGAAATATCTGGTTAACCAAATAAAAAAATAAAATAAGTTGAACTGAATTTCAGCAGCAACACACTGGCCTGATTAGTGTAGAAATAAACAAAATATGTCAGTTTAATTGACATTAAAGTTCCTCTAATGATCTAAAATATATATATAAAAAAAGGAGAAATAAGAGTTTTTTGCAAGAACATTTACTCCATTTATGGATATCGGCTCTCTGTGGTTTCTGTGGTCTAGAATCCAAAAAATTTACAAGATTTAGCCCTAGGTTTTGCTTTTTATTTGTTTACAAAGTAAAATTTGACTCAAACATTTCTCATAATTGGCAGAATCTGCCTATTTTAAACAGCTCCCTGAAAAAATAAACTTTAAAGAATAAAGCAAATTCTTAATAAATTTACGATTATTCAGACTAGAAGTATAATATTCCAACATTTAGATTTTTTATTCTTAAATTTTTATCATGTTTTAATGTTTTTTTTTTTTTTTTTTTTTAGACCATACAGTTTATGATTAATGATTTAAGGCTATAATTCAGTCTGTTGTCACCTTGGAGGCATTTTTTTCACAACTTCGAATTACATTAGGCCCAAACTCAATTAGGGAGGACTGAGTTTCTTAGTTTACAGGCTGGCATAGAGAGGAGCTTTTATTTTCCCCCATCGTAAACCGAAATGCTCCCAAAATAGGTCAACAGCGCCGCTTCATAACGAGACGTGTGAATTGCTAAGACAGTCCCAGGATAATAGCAAGTCCCAAAGCTTTCCAAACAAATCCCTCACATAGTAACACTGCCAACAATGAATTCCAGCAGGAGAGCTTTGTTCAAATGTGTAAGACTGGGTACAAAACATGTGTTCAAACAATACATTTGCAGCTACAGTAGACACAAGTTGTTATTTATAGATTCAAATTCTTTAAAAACATTTTTCTCACCTTTTTTTAAAGATGATGTTGGATTTTAGAAGGTATTGCAAAATAAAGGGTTACAATTTAAAAAAAAACTAAATATTAAGGTGTTATTGTTAACAAACAGTATTTGAAATTCTTCTGTGATCAAAATAAGAATATTTAGAAGGAATCAAAGGTAGATTTTAAACTTAAGAAAACCATCGCTACAGTCAAGCACGGTGGTGGCAGCATCATGTTATGGATTTTTCTTGTTCTGCTTCCTGGTGTATCACACAAAGTGTATGGATTAATAATGAAAGATGAAAGACTCCAGATTGTTTTACTTCACCTTAACTCAGTGGTTAGCAGAAGTGTTGCACCGATACCAGTATCGGGTGGGGCCACGATCCAGCACTAAAATGGTATCTGTATTGGCAAGTACCGACAAATAAGGCACCGACACCAATTTGAGAGCCAAAAGTTTATTCAACTATTGTCACCCATTCCAGGTAGGCAATAAAAAGTTCTACTAGATTCACTTTGTATTAGCAGGGGTTGACGTTAAGGATTTTTACCACACAATTTTTACTTGCCCAGTATAATGTTTGATAAATATAGTTCCTCATATTCATTTTTGTATATATATCAATGAAACATGTTTGTTTTTTAAAATGTTTTTTGTAATTCAGTATTTTTTAAGTTTCCAGGTTCCTGGTGTGTATCTGCATGCATCACATAATGAACTCAAGGCTACATTACCGTGTTAACATGCTTTTCAATCCTTCCTGCACATTCTTTTCAAACTAAACTTTGCTTTAAACTGTTGTGTGCTTGGAAAAATATAAATTGTAATGTTAAAAATCTAAAAAAAACTTGACAGGTTAAAAACTTAAGATAAATCACAAGACAGAAGTCAATGTCACAAATGAATAACTTTTATTTTAGAGTCACGGTATGTTTATACAAGATAATACTATTAATATAATGGGACTTTTCTAGAGAATCATTATACAGAGTTATTTTATACAGGGTTTCCACAGTCTGATATCATTTCAGAATTCCTGGACTTTTAACTGACTCGGGATTAGTTTTCCCTGACAAAATAAATGCAGCCGTTTGTCGTTTTGGTAACTATATCAAAATTACCGCTAGGTGGACAAAAATCACGCAGCTTTTTCAAATCACTCTCCCAACAATAAAAACTACTTGATCGGGCGATGGTTAAAATCGGGCCCTGCTTAGTCTTTTTCCTGCTTCACAAAGGTAGGCAGCAGCTTGACGAAGACATGATGGCAATTATTTTACATCCAAGTAGAATGCAGTTCCTCACATATACACACACATCAATTTCAAACAGATGGTATTGATGATATTGGTATCGGCCATTACTGCACTCCCAGGTATCGGTGCCAAAAAATGGCATCGGTGCAACACTAGTTTGCAGTTTTAAACTTCCAAATATTTTATTTCTGGAGGTTTTTCTTTTTTCAATAGAGAAAGAAATCACACTAAAAACTGTTTTAGAAAGTGAAAAAAGTAGCATAAATTGTTCTTTCATAAAATCCCATTTGGTTTCCATACTCTCTGGCAGAGAATTCAGACACTTTTTTTTTTTTTTTTATGAGAAGGGCTGCAGATTTTACATGACAATGGTGCAGCATGGACATCAGGGGAGTTCAGGGGGTTAAAGTCAGCCACAGAGCTCTGCAGGCTAAACACAGCTTCAGCAGCTGACAGAAAGACAAGGCTTTGGTCTGAATGTCAGGACTGAATTAGCACAGACACGATGGCATCCTAACAAACAAACCTCTCCAAACAGACACTCCATTCTTCTTTTTGGTCTTTCAATCTGGCTTCCAAAGTGATGGATGCATTTCAGTCAGGAAACTGTGGGGAGAAGAGCTGAATTTCTTACTTAAAAAAACAAAAAACAAACAAATCATTGTTCGAAATAGATCCATGTCCCAGAAAGCTTGTTGTCATACATTATGAAATAATAGAATCAAAGTTTAAGTGATTGCTCTGATTAAAGAGCATGTTTTAGACAAACTGAATCAAAATCAGAAACGCTGTTTCAAAACTTGCAGATTAACTTATACTCATTGATATGATCAGCTTTGTAAAAGCGAGTCTGGGTAGTAATAACAGCATAGACCTCAGAGAAGCATCTATTGCTGCCCATCAATGACTGAAAATTTCAAGTAAGAGAGATTATTCCTGCAGTGCAATGATCAGGAACATCTCCAATAAGACTAAAGGTAATATGTGACTCAACAGGATTAGCATGTTAGTAAGTAAGGTTTACTTATATATATATATATATATCACAAAGTGCTGTAAAATATGACGCATAAAATACATAACAGCACCATATAAAATACACATATACAAAATAAATACCATCATAGCAGTCCTTGAGAAAATGAAACAAAAATTTATCCTTTTAAAGCTTTAGACTCTTTTTCCAGGTGTATCATCAAAATAAGTGGTCCTCCTAATTATCAATCATTCTGGTGACATGTTTACGTGAAGCCGTCCTACGTGCTCATCCCCGTTTTCACTTCTGACATGGTTGAAAAATTGCAAATCTTCTTTTGGAAAGTAAGCTTGTATGAGCGATGTAAACAGTAACTTCTAAACAGGGCGTGCACGAGGAGAAATGGGCTCGTGCACGCCCTGTTTAAACTCTCGAGAGCAGGTAGAGGGTTGTAAATGTGAACTTTTTTGAAGTCGAGAGGGCGGGTCTTTTTTGATTTTGAGAAAATCCTCCACTATACCTTAAATATCAAGGTTTACATGTGGGTAAAGTAGACGTCTGATTACAACAGTGTCAGTGCCAGCCTAGTGGTTAGGGCATAGGGCTTTGAATCCTGAGATTGAGTTCGAACAACTCTATATAACTGTCACTAATATACATATTAGTTAGTTTTCATAACTATAATATGAAAAAATAAAGATATGAAAACTGATTACAGTTGGTATATACACCTTTCCCAGCAGATGTTATGCTTTGTTACCATTTATACATACAGAAATGCATCCACTTACAGATTAATTGTTTTCAAATCAATATATATAATATATTTAGTAGCATATATATGTATATATATATATATATATATATATATATATATATATATATATATATATATATATATATAGTTTTAGCAAAGATACTGTGTGGATCCCCAAGTTTTTTCTTGTTTTATATATATAGCCTATAGACGCTGGGCCCTTATTGGCTCCAAATACTAATTTAACCTTGATCCAGACAAGCAGTTAACAGCTTCAACAGAACAATTGTTGACCAACCGTTGTACAAAACTCTTGGGGCAAAAGTTAGTCTACATATTAGGGGATATGTCAACAAACTGCATTGAATTGAATTGCAGATCCTGAAATGTAAAGAAAGATTTCAAAAACTCTAAATTCCCAAGATGACAATTGAAAAAAAGGCTAAATATGTGGCCTGTTATGAAAAACAAACAGTAAAGCTGTCTTAGCTTGAGTTGTTCAGAAATACACATTCAGCACTTCAACTACCAAGCACGGTGGTGGAGGGGGAATTATTATGGTTTTTTTTTTTTTTTTTTTTTTGCAGCCAAGGGGTTTTCTAGGATTTGAAAAACCTGCAAGCATTCTAAAGCTAAAATAATGATCATGAAGATAAAAGCAAATCTTTACAGGAAGCCTTAATATATAGTGGCCTAGTCAAAGTTTGGAGGCCAAGTCAAGAAGTTATTTCCCATTAATGTGGTTCTATATGCATACGTCCTACTATGAACTATGAAATGTACCTAGATGCCAACAGAATAAAAAGATCTTTTATTTAGGGTTCAGGTCCATGTCAATGGAGAGGATAGAGAGAAAGATCTCTTTAGGTCAGCAGTGATTTGGTGATTCTGAAGTGTGAGTGGCAAAGCTAAAAACAACAACTACAGCCTGCCAGATGTGGCTGCTGCCTGCAACATGTAGAGGGACTTGTATGGTGGAGGAGGAGAGATGTTAACATGATGGCAGAGAAAATGACATGCAGACTCAACAGATTTCTCTCTTTGAGTCTTTTCAGAGGCAGATCCTGACAGCAGGCATGTGGTGGTGGGAGTACTCTCACTCTCTGCCCTACTTTCTGACTGATGATGCCACACAGAAACATGAGGGAGAATATCCTACATGGCTCAGCAGAGATGGATGAACGGATGGATGGAAGGATGGATGGATGCCAGAGATGATTGTAAAGCTCTTGTATTAGGACATACTAGCTGAACATGCTTTTGACGCGCTTTTTCAGCTTTAAACACACATCAAGCTACAAAGAATAAAGCTGTGAACTTCCGGTTTGTTTACATTTCAACTTAAGAGTTTAAGATGGAATAGTTGAACTTTAAACCAATACATAATTTTAGTTAATGGTGTCTTGGTATGCTTAAAAAAAAGGGAAAAAAAATATGATAATAAGACCAAAGAATGTTAAGAGTTTATTTTTTTCTACGATATTGGCTAAGATACAAAGACTGGAGAGAGAATAACTAAAACATTAGCCAAGTAACCAATCATAATATATAATAACATTAAAATAATTTGGAGATCTTTGCATTTCAACATCTTTAAGATATTATGATACTGTAGATGTCTGTTAAGAACAGACTGTGCTACAGTTTAACTGTGTTCCTGACTGTGTTTTAGTATCAATAGTAATACATTATTATGTAAAATAAATAAATAAACAACTGAAACATTTAATTACAACCCTAGTAAATCGATTACAACCAAAAACTTCAGTTATTTTAGAATCCAGTTCAATATGTTTGACTTGAGATGAGTTGATTAATCATCCAGAGGTGTAGCCAGAACATTTTTATAAGGGCTGAAAGCGGATAGGCTCCAAAACCTCAGGGTCAAGCTACACTGTTCCAAAAGGAAAATTAACAAGCAAAAAAATCCATATTTTCTAAATAAAGACAAACTATACTTTCCTATAGCCTTTGCTAACAAGTAGACGCATATATTTAAACATCTATGCTTTCTAAATAAAAGGTATAAAAAATTCTTTCAGTTTTGAGATCGGGGGCGTAAATCTTTTCTATCGTCATTACTTACGTACTTTTATCAATAAACATTCTGCATAAAATTGATATTTACAAGCAATAATATCTAAGTAAATTGATTATTTGATAAGCTTTTATTAAAATTGTTATTTATGTATGATTTCACTGAAGACTCCCAGATGACTTGGAGAGACACATTTTCTCTTTACCCTATATAACACAAAATCTAGTTCTGAAAATAGCATGAATTCTATATTAATCATCTTTGATGTTAGTATATTGATGTGAATAATTAAACACAAAAAAAATCAAAATTTTTTGAATATTCCACTTGATAGTATTACTGCTGCCACCATCAGAATTAGAGGGAAAATAATGGTAGGGGTGGCCAATGATTGGGTAAGGGTGGCCATGGCTACCCCTGGCCTCCCAATCTAGCTCTGCTCATGTAATCTTCCACAGACTCATGCTTTATAACCTTTTATTTCTTGTTAGCTCATAAAAAAATATATTTAAGGTAATAAAACACTTCTTTAGCGAAGAAATGTGGGTTTAATGGCAATCATTTGATATTTGCTTTACCGTAACTGACTTAAACTTGCTTTTTCAGTTTTAAAAGGTACTTTAGAACTGGAAGTTGATTTTACTGAATATAAATGTGTAGATAAATAGATTCATTTTTAGAAACTATAAAAATATTTCCAACTGCTTTAAAAAAAATGGCGTTAATGTTTTATTTTGAAAGTGAGTAATTCCTCTTCCGGTTGTAATGGCTGCAGCTTGCCGCCTAGAGCTCGCTGCCAGTTGGTCCAGGGACTCACGAGCGCAGCTCCCTTCTCCGTCCTGCGGCATATAAAGGCGCTCAGCGGTCGGAGACCTCCGTGTCAAGGCAGCGGTAACGTCTGCTTATTCCTTCCCGCAGACATTTCAAAATCCCCTTCCTTCACACCACCCGCGTCTGTGTCCCGTCACAGAGCGGTGGGGGGGAGGATAGAAAGAGAAGGGGGGCTTTGGGGGGGGGGGGGGGGGGGTCCATCTAGGAGTGACCAGCATGGACCCCCAAGCGAAGAGCCGCACCGGACCCGCGGCGATGGCGGCCGGAGGGAGCTACGGCGGCCGCCCGGTCTCTCTCGGAGTAGACGGGGGCGACTCGGAGTCCGGAGCGGGCTCAGAGGAGGCTGCCATGGGCTGCAGCGACACGTTCAGCAGCCTACCGGACATGGAGCAGGAATCTCTGGAGGACAAATTACGCGGACTGGCGTTCAGAAAGCAGACCTCGTATCGGTGAGTAGAGGGCAGAGGGAGGATGCTGGCAGGATGTCGCTCAGAGCAGGATGTGCTCAGGGATCCAGCGCGTGCACATTCCCGACATTTAAATATGGCTTAGAATTACAATTTATCTGCTCTAAAGGGAAAAACAAGTGAAGCTTAGAAATAGTTAAAGACTAAAGAGTAGGAGTTGTATTGTTATGAGGAAAGCAGATTTCTGTCCTGACTTGTCCAGGCAGGCATCGCTACGCTGCTGCTAATTGTCTCAGCATAAATCCAACCGAGCAATTTCAGCCCAAATAAAATAACATGTCCGCGTGCACACAAGCACGATGCGCGTGCATTTTCACTAGGGGGGTGGGGGATATTGATTGGTGAACAAAGTGTGTTTATGTGGATGCCAGCAGCAGCCTGACACCCCAGTGTGACTGACAGCTGCTGCTGATAGCAAATAATCACATTATTATAGATTTGATCTCACCTGAAAGAATCAGGAAAAGAAAAGAAAAATATGTCTGCATAGTTTCTCTGTTTATTTATTTAAAAAAAGAATGAGAGTACACTGGAAAAAAAATCTAACCATAGATAAGTAATTTTTTCTTAAAATAAGTGCATTTGTTCTTGGATTGAAGAGGAAAAAATAGACATTTTGCCAATGGAACAAGACAATTTGAAATTTAAAATAAGAAAACACAATTGCATTGTCTTATTTCAAGTGCATTTTATCTAATTATCTTATTTTAAGAGTAAAAATACTGATTCCATTGGCAAACTACCGGTAATTAATTTACCTACTTAAATTAAGGGTAAATACACTTAATTTAGGAAATTTTACTTTTTTTCCAGTGTAAAATTTTTTGTTGAGCACATGTTGTTTATATCACAATCTTATTTTGTGCTTTATTTATTTTAAAAGCTGGCTCCTTTGTGATTTGTTTCTACAATGACATATGATAACAATTACCAGCTTGCTTTAAAAAAATTTTTTTTTTATTATTACAATACAATTTACTATTATTCAGTACTTGGTAAATAAATGTTCACTGAAAGCCTTTACAAATACTTTATTTTATTTAATCAAATGAAAGAGAAGTCTAAACATTCTAGAGTTAGGTTCTACATATTGGGTACTGCATGGGGGTCACAAAAGTTTTGCTTGATTAGACTTTTTTTATATTCCTCCCTGCAATTTTTTCCACTAATTGAAATGTCTTTTAATACACATTAACATGAATTCAACACCTCAGGAGCTCTTTCAAGCTTTAATTACTTCTGTTAGGTTACTCCATATGTAATACAGTGACTATCGGACCAGTTTGATATAAAACAATCTCATACAATATATGTAATTAGGGGGTCCCTGCTCCACATCGCCATGAATTTTGGGGTCCTTGGCCTGGAAAACGTTGAAGACCCCTGCTTTAAACCATAAATCAGGATAAACTTGTAATTCCTTCATATTTGGATGGATTGTAAACTGCTAGCTCTATCCGAGTACCTTCAGTATGTTTTTTCTTTTTGGTTTTCAAATATTCTTACATAAAAAAAAAAAGAGTCCATATGTCAGACTTAAAAAACAATCAGTTAAAGATTGATCCATGCAGCTCTGTTTTTTTTAAACACAGAATGCAGCTCCGGTTGTTTTTGAATAATCTTTATTTTGCTCTTTATTTTGTTTGTATCAATCACTCCTATTTGTTTCTGAGTTACTGCAGCAGCTTTACTGCACCTAAATCCGGGTCAAATATATTTAAAAATTAGGACTCTTAATGAATTTGATGAACAGCAAAACATAATGGCTAATTAATCCTTGATCTAATTAGATTAATTTCCCCTCTTGTAATCATGCTCCCACTGAATTAACAAGCTAAATTCAGGGGGTATAAATAAAAAAAAAAGGTATGATGCACTGTGATCCAGTTATGAGACATTTAACAGATGGTAATTTGTGTTGTTTGTGTTTTTTTACCTTTTCTGGGAGTATTTTGTTTTTTTGTTCGGTGGATTTTTGTTATTCAGCCATAAAAACCAAAAGAGTGTCAAAGATCTTTCAGTTTTTGTTTTTGTCCTTAGTTCTTCTTTCGCTGGCTGTTTTGTCTGCTGTGTGAAAAAAGGGGTTTGCACAAATAAAGAAGAAAACAGGTTACTCATGCAAGCCGATTTGTCAATTCAGCATTAATCTAAAATTATTTAGAGGTTTCAGTTCTTTACCTTTATATAACAAGTGGTTCTCAGGTCTTCTAAGCTTATAAATCCATATACATTTGATTTTATGTAAGGATAATCCTAAAAAGCCTTAAAGGAATTTACTAAATTTAGCAGGAAAACATCCACCTTTCCTGAAAGGTATGTTCTCCTGTCTTTGCCACGTTATAATGTTGCTGAGATAAACTGGTGTCTCTGTTGCGTTTCATTTAAACCACAGGCAAACATAAAATCAAAGCTTATTAATCAAAAAACAAATAGTAAACACAAGAATTAATTCCATAAAGTTTTATCTACAGCTCTGAAAACATTCACTCAATTTTGTGCAGTCTGATGACCAGTCTCTTAATGAGATTTTCATAAATAAATAAAAAACAGCCAACAGGATACGTATCACAAACCCTTTATTTGGAGCTCATTTTCAATAATCTTATAAGTTAAAATTTAAAGCATTTTATGTAATTTCCATCTTTGATGTCTCAGCCGTACCCACACTGATGCTAAAGCTTTTGTAATAACCTGTAGTAATATTTTTACACCCCTGTGGAGGTTTTTAACCAGCTGAGGGTTAAAAATCATGCCAAAGCATCTTAGTTGAATTTGTCCAGCCTTAGACTAAGCATCCCGACATAAAAAAAATCAGAAGCACACTTGCTGATGTGATCAGAAGTTCGGCTTCTAGGTTTATTAGAGAAAGAGTAGATGTCATGGTCTATTAGTTACCGCTAGTGATCCAGATTTCAGAGTGACGAAGCAGACTTAAGGGCTGGTTATTCTCCTCCAGCATTATATCGCAGTGAGCTTGTCGCAGAATTTTGAAGCGTGGTCGCAACAACGCAAGAGGGACAATAACAAACTAGCCGTGGGTCTAGATACAGCGAGGTGAGGGCGAAAAAGAGCGGGGACCCAGGTGGGAAAAGGGTCCTAGCATTCTCGAGCACCTCGCTCTTCTAGCTGGTCCATCTTAACCCCGTAATGCCAAATGTATCATATTTGATACATACGGTTTCTGAAATGTCACCTTTTGCATAATTTAATGGTAAAAACTTCTCAAAACCCTATTGTACACAATCAGATATACCTGATACCAGAGGGCAGAAGACTACACAAAAAAATAATCTTGACTTATCGCATAGTAATAAATTATTAATATCAAAAATGTATTTCTGTTTTTTCTTTTTATATATTTTGATAAAAGGCTAAATAAGGACTTCAAACCAAAAAAAAGTAATTTTCTGTTTTGTTTTATTCTTGGATCGGGCTTTAAAGGGTTAAAGAGTCATTTTTCACAATGGCGGTCGTACAAACAAAACAAGCCAGTAAGGTACCAAACAGGAAATATGCATAGTGTAGAGGGGATGTAGATTTGACCAATCAGAGGCCTCCTGTCTGCGTTCAGCTACAATTTTGGAGAGGTGCAGCAGAGTGTCTTCAGGGGGGGCGGGGGCATGTCTGCGTTAACTGCGACACACGCAGACGACCCTGTTTCTGAGCATAAATCAGCCTTTTGACTGTTGTTTTATTTTATTTTTTCTGAGTAGCAGTAGTTTTGACTAGGGCTGGGTATTTTCGCCAAAGTCCTGAATCGATTCGATTTTGATTCACACAGTTCTAACTCGATTGATTTCGATTCGATCTGTTTTTTGAAAAATGAAAGTGGTTCAACTGTGTTTTAAAATACTCATATATTTAGTTTTTTCCTGTCACATTAAACACAAAGTGCAAACTTGTAAATCAGACAGTTTAAACTTGAGATATGAACAAAACTGTCTCATAAGTGCAAACTTGTTTGTGAAAAGTGAAAAAGTGAAGCCTCACATGAGCAAGCAGACGTTACACAGCAGACATGCATGAGCTGCATTATCGTCGCTGCACAAACCATATGTGCAGCGTTGTCTGTAACAACTACAGGGTGTTTTCTGGTCAGCCCCCATTTGTTAATGTCTTCAGTCAAGCTATTGGGTACATTTGCAGCTGTCTGGCTTGAAGTCATCTTGAGTGCATCTTTCCTGCTCATTTGAATGTGAACGTCACGTGGGTCACTATAAAACTAATCGATCTCATTCCCCAGACATCAATTTTGCAAAAAAATAAAGGAATCGATTCAAAATCGATTTTTTTACCCAGCCCTAGTTTTGACCTTTCGATCTCCCATTTAATTCAATTCAATTTCAATTCAGATTATTTATATAGCGTCAAAATTACAACACAAGTCATCTCAAGGCACTTTAAAGTTCAACCAGATCATCCAGTCAAATTGAAATTCAAAGTTTTCTATCTAAGGAAAACTAGTTGATTGCATCGACTCATTGACTCAAATACAATCCCTCACACTAAGCATGCTTGTAGTGACAGTGGAGAGGAAAAACTCCCTTTTAACAGGAAGAAACCTCCAGCAGAACCAGGATCAGTGTGAGCGGCCATCTGCTGAGACCGACTGGGGTTCAAGGAGACAGTCCACTTGTTCCCAGTCTGGTCTTATTGTTGAATCTTGAAACTAAACCTTGAAGTGAGGTCTGCAGAGCTGCAGATGTTATTCTAGGTTCCTTAGTGACCTCCTGGATGTTCCACCAACGTGCTTTTGGAGTAAATTGGCCTCCCATTTTGCTTTCCATACCAGATTAAATCTTACATCCCACTTTAGCCTGCTTCATGTTGTCAGTCTGGTTCTATAGAAGTAACTTGATTCTGCAGTAATAGTGCCTGGGGGTTTTTAGGGTGGATTTGAACTCACAATCATGGTTAGTCACAGTTCACTGTCACAGTTTCACAGCAGTGTGTTCATAACAATATGGTTTAAACAGGATCAT